GCTCCTGTATTGGGTCATCAGCCGGACACGTAACCGCATCTGGTTGTAAATAAAGATTCCAAGGCTTCGTCGCAGGAACTGTTTTGTCTCTGTGTGTGAGTGAATTCGATTGTCATTGCGCCTCTCACACAATTGGTTCTGTGGGAAGAAGAAGTCAAAAGGGGAGAAAAAAAAAAAAAAAAAAAGTCAGGAAGCAGAAAAGTCTAGACCGCGAACAATCTGACCAAATGTGTAACAGTGCAATGTTGTATCACCATGAGAAACCCTCCGCAGCCAGCGCCGGAGATATAAACCATCCATGCTGCCTATCCGGTGACCAAAGCCCAAGGAGAAAAGTGATACTTTGTTTATTTTCCTTCGCCTGCAATGGAGCGTAAAACCCCTGCATCCTGAAAATAAGCCTTGTCGCTGTATGACTTGGCGGAAGATCAAGCTTTTTTTCGGTATTATTAGGCGCCCTTTCCAAGTATGTATCTATTAACTATTAAAAAAGTTATACCATTCAAATAATATATCGGGGATTGACATCAACTGCCCATACCAGACCGGACGAAAATAAGAAGAAGAAGAAGAAGAAGAAGAAGAAGAAGAAGAAGAAGAAGAAGAAAGCCGTATTCAAATCTGAATAGCGACAAGCACGAGCGGGTAAGGGTCTATAAGATTTTAATGGTATAAATAATAGTACATTCCAAAAGTATGCAGAAACAAGCCTTTGAGGTCATATATGTATATACAAATTATATCAAGCGAATTTAATAGATATGGCCTTAATATCTACGAGAATGGAAGAGAAGGAAAGGCGTTCTCCTCCCCGCCCTTCTCGACATGTTAACCTACTAGAACTATATTTCTAAGGCCCAAGGTAGTACAGCCATGCATGAAGAAATAGCCCGGCCGGAACGCGGATCGCCCGCTCAGGAGGTGCGGCAGGATCGCGGCAGTGTATGACAGTGACGAAAGCTGCACGAAGGAGCCGACGAGCGCACTGAATGCCGTCGACGAGCCGATATAGATGCAGCCCATGACCGTCACGATGCAACCGCAGATAAACGTGGCGTTGAAGGGGTTGTGGAATGTGGTGCTGACGCGTGACAGCCAGCCGCTGAATGGGGTTGCGTTGTCGCGGGATAGGGTCCAGAGGGTGCGGCCCGGCGGTGATGTAGCAGCCGATGCAAGTTATGAAGGTGGGCAGGAAGACGACGATGAGGAGGCCGAGGGCGCCGCCGCGGGAGGTGGTTGCTTGTCGGTAGATCTCGGCGAGTGGAAAGGTGGATTTGTTGTCGAGAACGGCGGGGAGGTCGTGGATGGAATAGAGGAGCGCTACCATGTACGTTATGGCGGTGACGAAGCCCACGGCCATTTGAGCAAGGACGGCTTTAGGGATGTTGCGACTTGGTCTGGTGAGTTGGAGGTCCGTTCGATTAGTATGCAAGCATAAAATGGTGGTTATGGATTAGGTAGAGTGAGTTACCCAGAGGTTTTATAATTCTGGCTTGAGTTGGAAATACGTACCTGAGGATCTCCTCTGCAACATGGCTGGTGATGTCAGGGTTGCCGACGGAGTACGCACCGTTAAGCATACCAGCAACAAAGATGAAGCCGTTGCTAGAATAGCCTGTTTGATTCTCCCAGTCCCTCCAGACGAAGTCGTCCGACGCATATCCGCGTCCAGTCACATGGGGCATGATGGCGCAAACAAGAATGGTAACGAAGACACCGGCGATGATAAGGAACATGCCCGCATTACTGATGGCTGGTAGTGCTTTGTTGGCGAACAACACAATGCAGCAGCAGAGCCAAGAGCAGATAATATAACTGACAAACATATGCCATGCCTGTGGTTCTAACTCCGGATTGAAAAGCATGTACATTGAGACGCTCTGGTTAGCGAGAATCGAGGGCATGGAGGCAGCACCAAATGCCCATGCGAAGAAATTCCAATCGCCAGCTAGCCAACCTAACGGATGACCATATCGTCAAGCCGCTGAGGGCATTGCAGAAGCCAATTCAGCAATGGAGGCCGCAACTAACCAGTAACATATCGCGACGGAAATACTAGAATAAGATCCCGCGTTAGAAATGGTCAAAAAAACACATTGTCAACCGCTGGATATTGGGTCGCTTAAACTCACAATTCGTAAATAACTCCAGGAGGTCTCCCATTGTAAATAATGCCGTTCTATTACGA